ACTAAGCTTGATTGATTTTATCCAAAACAGAAGTTGAAATTTTAGATATTTCCACTAAAAATGTATCAACCCCAGACGTGATTGAGGCATATATCAAGAACTAACTGTTTCCCAGAGTGCTCAGGTCACATTGCAGAACAGGCCACCTTACATTTATCACTAGCCACCACTTACAGCACTAAACATCATTCTTTTCAAGTGTTGCCAAAAAGATGGACACAAGGGCCTTGCTTTGATTACCTTCACAGCTACTGTGTGGCTACTCTTAAGATCTGCCGAGGAGACTCGAGTTACCCCAGTGCTCCAGTATAAGTGCTGTCAGCTCTCATGCCTACTGAAAAAAAAGAGGTGTCAACATTTGGCATTACCCTGTATAAATCATTATTTCTATTATGGCCTTCATTCAAGGAACGCTGCTACATATCTGATGTATGCACGTGATAGACATTTTAGGCAACTTAAAGGCTTGACAAGGTCTTTCAATCCCACCTTTTTTTGAGAAACATTTTCTAGCAGTAACTTAGTACCACCTCAAAGCCTCTATTTCATATCTCTTTGAAGAAAAATGTGCCTTAGATTTAAGGAGGGAGTCAGAGAGGCACTGATTCAGTCTGGCTGTTTGCCCTGCTCATTCTGCAAACACTGTATCCTGAGTAGCAGCATCAAGTCCTGGACCCTGTCTCAACAAGCTGTTTTAGGTTGCCTTTGATACCTGATTCAGAACCTTGCAATTAAGGGGTGTCAAGGAAACTGACTGGTACACATCACCCTCTGGATGCTGTTGGCTGGTGCTCAATAAGTTAGGATGATCAGGTTTGAGAATTAAATTTCTAAATTTCTTAAAGCAGTTTTGAAGTCTCCTTAATATTCCAGTCTGGGAAGAAATTGAAGCTGTTCATGGTTTATGAGTTTAATATGGCACTTACAGTTAAACTATTTTAGATCCTAACAAGATCTTTTGATAAATTCTTTTTCTCATGCTATAAAGAAAGAATCATTATTCTTAGGAGACACTGCATTTCCCTTCATCCGTCTGGTTCTGTTTTCCTTAATTCTTTCAGCAGTGAGGAAAAGTCTGAGCACTTACGCTCTGAGGTGACAGGTTTGGAGTACCAGAATGATTTTGTTTGGTAAAGTGTGTTTGTTCATTACAGCTGTTTGGTAAGTCATCAGTTGTTCTATTTTTGAAGATAAATTTGGTCTCATTTGCAAAACTCCATCCCATAGATTCCAGGAAAGACTTGGAGATGGAATGTTCAAAAATTTCTGACATGTCTCCTTCCTGTTTAGTGCACAGACACCCAATATCTATCTCCTTTAAGAATTCCAGGACCATTCTTAACCTGCTTTGAGCCTTTCTCACAGCTGCTTAGAAGTTGTTCCAACTGTTTTGCTTGGTACAGTAGCCACTTCTTGTGGGTTGTAGCCCCAGCAACTTGTTCCAGTAACTAGAACAGCACAAAGGGTGGTTCTGTTATCATTGGCATAGAATGCAGTGGTCACTGCCAATTCTCACCCCCTCGTTGTTGTCCTTTCAGCAGTCCTGAAAACACTCTCAAAGAGCACAGATATCCTCTTCGGTTTCATCCGTCTGCTTCTCCGTATCTCACTTATGAACATGCTTGCTGTCGCTCATCAAACTTGGCAATTGAATATTCTGGGTTTTAGGCACTTTCCACAAATTTAGTGATTTAATTTGCCTTTTTGTTCTTCGGCAGTCCCTCCCTCTCTTCCACCCCCCTTTATGAGTATTTTTGGAGATCCATCCTGTACTAATCTGTCTTGTAGCTCTACTCTGGGAGCCATAGAACTCATACCATTCAAAGACCAGATTCTCCATTCTTGTCAGATGCGTGCATCTGAGGATAAAAACATTTACATAATTTCTCATTGTAGTTGAGGGCATAGAATTGGGTTGTTTGGGCCAAAGTCTTACTTTTGCAACCTGCAGATCTTGAGAACTAATTTATGCTTAGGACTTTGTGCTAAAGGACTTCTATCCTTTTGCCATGGTGAATTCCTGCTTGTTTACCCCAAAGGAAATGGTAGTATATATTTATGTTTTGCCCGGTCATGATAAGTGTACTGTATATGCAGATACCCTTCAATCACTTTTCAGAGTCAGATACTGTCCAGTTTGGTAGAGAGATTCTTTCAACAGCTGTCCTTTAATAATACTTTCTCATCTTCCTCTCTTGTTTAGGTCAGTTAAGATGGTTGCTTCCCTTCTGCAGGCCATTTGGTGCACTATCCCATGTGCAAGTTGGTTGTAGGCACACAGTATGCAGTGATGGTGTGTTGTGTGACACTCAGGGTTGTCCAGTCTGTCAGTCAGGAAGCATCTGACCCAGGAGCTGTTGTGCTGTCAAAGACTTAGTTTGAGAGCTGAATTTGTGTTTTGTTTTAGGTGAAACTGCTATGTTTTTGCACTCTGTAGTTTCCTGAGGGAATTGGGAAGGAGTTATGGATTCAGTTCCAAACAAGATTTTCAGCTTGCATCTCTGAATGCTTGTTGGACCAGTGCTTTAGGCATACAGTCCTGGTTGCTATTGCATCTTTTTTTGAAAGCCAGATTATAATTGCTTCTAACAGGAAAATGGGAAGTAGCTAAGCCTGTGTGAGGCTTCCTCCTGGCCTGACCTTCTTTAAGGTGAAGGGGGCCCTGTGGATACATACAAAGTTCTTAAAGCATTACTGGAACAGCTCTTAATCTGAAAATAAGCTTACCTCTTGCTGGGTTTTCCCCACAAACTTTATTTTTCTGAGATTGCAGTGGTCCTTCCCACCCTGTGATTTTTTGCATTGAGTCCTGACCTTTCATACAGGACCTGAGACTGACTGTGCTAATATCTGAGAGATCCAGAAAAATATCCTTGTCCATTTAAAGATCAAATGGACTGCATGAAAACAGTGGACTATGTGAAAATGAGTTTGCCTTTTTAGATTTCGCCAGGTTGGAGCCAGCTTTAGTCCTTGGAGCTCAAATTACTTTTCTGCACAGTCACTGATTTATTTTTCCTGACACTGTGCTGATACCGAGGTGTCCAGGGTTTTATACTGGGTGGTCCATATGTACATTCCTTTCCTGCTATTCTCTCCAAGTATCATACACTTCAAAGCTGAGATGGCTTTAGGTGTTCTTTGTCTTACATGGTCATATTCCAAGCATAAGATGTAGCAGAGAATAAATGCATTCTCTGTGAAGAAGATATTTGCCATTGTCAAATAGTAGGGCTTATATACTTTTACAATATGAAGGTACATTTTAGCCGTAATTATTGAATAATTGTAACTGTAACTAGCATTTTTATTTGGGAAATTCTATAGACTTTTGACAATAACTTGATTACCTGATAAATAAAGAAATACCCTATCCTCTACAGTACAAATAATGAAAACTTAATTTTTTATGTAGGTACAGTGGTTACAGCTTAACATTTCCTCCTATTGTAAGTTTTAGTAGTATTCTCCATATGAAAGATATAAAATATTTTTTTTTATTCTTTAGTAATTTTTCAGGAAGCAAAGACTTTGTTTTCTGTGCTATCACACTAGAGATCATTGTAATTCCAGAGATAAAGATCGAATGTGAAAATGATGAATTACGTTTCCATTTGGGAAAGACGGATATATTCTTCTCTTTTTTTTTTTTAATGGAAGAAAGCAAACATAATGTTTCTTTCGCAGTTTTTGCAGTGGCAAAGGCAGAATCTTGTGACTTTTCCACAGAGTATCACTTGCTTGATAGAGAAAAGTTATTTGTCTAATACACAAGTGTAGTATGTAACCCGTAGCACTTAAAAGCAGTTTGGATTTTGATAGTCTTCAATTGATCATTAAGGATCAAAGAATATTCATTAAGTGAGGCCTCTTGTGCAGAGAAATCAAGGTTTTTGTAGCTTGATGGAATACCAGATAATCATTTTGTAGCTCTTCATATTTTTAGTAACAGGACAAAAATGTTTTGGCTATGAATTAGTCTGTCAAGGAATTTACTGGATGATCATTCAAATGACTCTTCATAGATGCAGGTGATCAAAGATTTTTAGGTATATTTTAAAAGCAGGTGAAGTGGAAGGAGCTTACTACTTTTTGTCAGCCTAAAAGGATAGAGTGAATGGATGAACAATTTCATGAAAGAAGTACTGTAGTCTTCTCTTAGAAGAAAAAAAAATACACACAAATTTCTGTATAGTTGTCTAACTTGTTATCATTTAAAACTATATGGCAGTAGGTAAGACCAGAGTGGGGTCATACCCTTTGTCCATAGACATGAGATGATCAGCATGTCTTAAAATTTGCTTCAGATGAGACCAGTGGAGATGGCGGAAATCTTAAGCTGTGGTACACTGTGCTTGTTTGGCAAATGTTTTCTCTGTTATTGTTTTAGAAATGGGAGGAGGATCATATGTAAACATTTCACAGAATTTTACTTCAAAAAGCAGCAGCTGTTTTTCCCCACATACCAGCTAATTTCTCACTTTCAGCTTTTACTTTTTGGGCAGTAGAGTGATATATGGATAACCCAAAATCTAGATTTTGGCTATTGAAGGTTGCTGAAATTCGGGAAGGGGAAACACTGTTGTT